TCCTTTCCCTCACTATTGTCTGAACTCACACTCCTACCTCCCGCTCCACCCTCTTCAGCCAAGTGTCACCATCCTTCAATGCCCAGGCATTTAATTCTATTTCTGGCTTAATCATAACAGTAGTGATTTCCCATTAGATTCCTGTGTGTCTGTTCCCTCCACGACACTGGGAGGGCCTGAAGCAAGGACCAGACAGCATACACTCCCTTCAGTTCTTCATTGCCAGAGTTACCAAGAGTGTAGCAAATGCTCACTAAATCCTGATGGAACCACTTGGCCGTGCACAAGATCCCAACATACCTGCAGCACACGGAGGATCCACTTGTCACTTCTTTCTTGTTGAAGTGGTAAAAATATGCTCCAATACACCGAGGCGGAACAAAACCTGCCACGGACGGTTTCGCCAGAGAATGACTGTGGCAAAGAACCGCAGGACATACTTTATAATACCTCCTGAGATGAATAATGCAGTGGGGACTATTGAATCATACTTACACTCTCATTTCCCATCACTGTGTTGTTTTACTACATAAGGATTTGATATGCGCTCACACATTTTAGAACTTATCTTTCTCATAAATTTATAAAGAAATCAGTGCTGTATAACTACATAAAGGAAAATTGAGCACGAAGAGCCTAATTCTTGAAGTGATATATTTACTTAATTAAAACGATTATACTGAAAGGGATTTAAAGTACCCCTGTCACCAATTGCCTTTTCCCCCCCTCAAACACCTACTGCAAAATTGCAGTAAAGTTAAAATGTGACAGTTTCTTAGTTTAAGGGACTGTAAGTATCCTACAACGAACTCCTCAATTTCACACTTAGCTGGGACTGAGGAGTCCAGCTCCTGCTCCGAAACCTGTGTGTCACCTTTCCAACTCAAACACAGGCAATTACAAAGGTGTTCCCGGGCAGGCCTCCCAGGGGGGCTGCCCTCCCCTCCTCTGTCAAGGACAGCCAGTGCAGGGCCGTCTCTGAGGGGAGCTGCGGCCAGGGACTCTGACTCCACCCCGACTGAGACCTCCTGGGGACTGGGGACAGGGAGCACTTTTCTGGTTTGGTCTCTTCTTATACAACAGCAGTTAGCGACTACAGGCTTGGCTACTATTCTCATTTGGTTTATCTTTTTTTTTTCAGCTTTACTGAGTACAAGTGACAAAATTATAGTACGTTTAATGTGTACAACATGAGGATTTGACATACATATACGATGTGAAAGGAGTCCCACCATCGAGTTAACACATCACTTCATATCTTCTTTTTCTGGTGAGAACTTAAGATCTACCCTCTTAGCAAACTTCAGTGACACAACAGAGTTATCGACCACAGATACCATGCTGTAGGTTAAATCCTTGGAACTAACTCACCTTGTAACTGAAAGTTTGTACCTAACTTGGAGGGTGTTATACTATGTGATGTAAGCCAGACAGAGAACGACAAATACTGCACGGCATCACTTCTATGCAGAATGTAAAAAAAAAAAAAAAAGTCAGACTCAGAAACAGAAGAGAATAGTGGTTGCCAGGGGCTGAGGGGCGGGGGAATTGGCTCTGCTGAGCTCCTGACAAAGACACTCCACTAATTTCATTCTCCAGGACAAGCCCTCTCGAGTCTCCACATTGAAAGCTATGCTGTAACAATTGTCGCGTGGAAAACAACAGAACTGGGAGAAATGAGTTCAAGTCTAGTTCTAGCATTAAATTAGCAGTGTGGCTGTGCAGGTTACTTAATCTTTGGGGCTGGGCCTCCTCGCCTGCAAAATGAGGTTAACGTGACTGGGTTTTTTTGCTCAATGTTCCCTTCAGGTCTAATATGCCAAGATTCTGTGAATTACATGTCTAAAACTATCTTTTGAAAAAAATTTTAAAAATTAGCAGATTGAAGCCAAACAACTTTTAAAATTATTTTTAAAAGGTAACCTTTAAAGGTAGCATTTAAAAATAAATCTTCCCACAACTCAAATGTCTGACAGTGTTGCCCACAGTGGCCAGCAAATATTTAATGCCTGTCCACCACATGGAGACACATGTGCACAGCATTTTCTCTCCTTTCCCACGAAGAAACACTCAGCGTTTCTTCCAGGTGAACTTCCTGCGGGCTCCCTCTTGGCCGGGCTTCTTCCGTTCTCTCACGCGTGGATCGGTTGTAAGCAGTCCAGCTGCAGCATAAAGAGAGAAGTTGTTACAAACCACGAAAACGCATCTGCCTAGCAGAAGAGGAGGTGAGCCGTGTGAACGTACAGGTGCTGTTTCAGAGCAAAACTCTAGGGGAAAGCAACCAGACCTACGGTGAATCGCCAGCCTGACAGGAGTGTGCTTTCCCTCTTTCAGGATATGTTTCCAGTTTAAGACAAAAGCCAGCTACATTTTTCTATCTGCTTTCCTTATCCAGGAGTACTGACTCCTTTTTGGTTTTTAAGCTTGTCCAACTTAAAGCTGCTCCTGAGTGGGCAGCCTCATTCACCGCGATGGCACTTATCCTGCATGCTCGTTACTACAGATGTGAAAGTTGTAATGAAGACATGAGGCAGAGAAGACAAATGCGTTGTGCAGCAAAACATGAGGAAGTCTGTGCACACCAGATATTAACAGTTACATGAATATATGTGCACATATAATATGACTTACTAAACATATTTGAGGAGAAAAACGTATTATTCTAATTTGTGTGACAATAACATCCCTGGTATTTTGTTTCAGAATCTAAAAAATAAGTGTTTGGGGTGTGTTCTCAGTATAAGCAGTTTATTCTGGAAGAATGAAGTCAGTTTAAACTGGAAGCTTCCACGGCCCAAATGAAGCAGCCGGTAGTGGCCGCAGCCAGAGTATGTTAATAACGACCACAGATTTCAAGAAAACCAGTGATGAGAAAGCTCTTTAAAGTGCTTTTATAAATATGTAAATAAACCAGAGTTTCATTGGATTTTTTGGTGTGTTTTTTCTAATTTTTATTTTTACTTTCCCAACACTCATTCTTCTTTTCATAATGTATATATAAGGTTTAAGCATTTCGTTGTGGTCTTCCAATGGCCATGCAGCAAAGGAAACCTTCAAGTGCTTATTATACAACCACAGCATTTGCAATCTACTTGTACGTAAAGGGTATGAAATGAAACAATATTTTCAGCAAAATGCAGACAAGACCTGTTTAAATTCTAATTTAAATGTAAGTAACAATGCTTTATTACTTTTCAATATGCACAGTAACTCAAACTAGCAGAACAGTTAGTAAGATCCTATTAAATTATTTTACTGACCAGATAAGAATCCCACAAAATAGTGAACTGTTTATAAGAAAATAGATTTCGAAGAGGCTAAGCCGTAGGCAGCCCGTATCTGCGGCACTGCCTCAGGACCCCAGCGGTGGGGTCGGGGCAGAGCGGAGCTGCGGGCCCACAGGCAGTGAGGGGCTGGCCCAGGTCCCGTACCTCCTAGCAGCATCCACAGCACTGTCCTCCTCTCACAAACAGTGTGAAGAAAACCTCCAGCTAGAACCACCCTGAGTTATTATAAATGCCACAGCAGTGCCCTAAGGAACCAACCGACTATATATTCATTCTCACACCATGCGGCCTCTCATATTCACGACTGGGTGATGGAGTTACACAAAGTGAGAGAGAACATAAAATTCGACATCACAATGGAAAACTGGAAATATCCAATAATTTCAGAAAGAAATACCTTAAGGGCTTCACCATTAAATTGAATAATTACAACTTCCTATGACAAAATAAAAACAGCCAAATCATCTGTTAAACACAACTGAGCAGCACTGGTTAAACTAGACAAAAGGTTATGTATGCTTTAAGGTCAATGTAAGTTTCCTCTGATGCTGGGAATGCCTCCATTTTTGTTTTCTAATTCAAGTTCATTTCATTTAAAATTCAAGTTCAAAACTGAAAAATAATATACAGTCCCAGAGCATGAAAAGAGAAGCCAGCAAACTGCAATAATGCATATTTAGCTACGTGTTTTCTCATTGATTTCAGATAAGAAGCACAAGAATCAAACAAATCTATAGATAGAATGGGGACAACCACGGCCCTCCCACCTCAACTCATACCTTGTCTCATCCACTCGACCTCCTCCTCGGTGACAAAACTGCACAAAGCTCTGGCCAACGCTAAGCGTATGGCTCCAGCCTGCGCCGACCTCCCACCACCCGAGACTGTACAGGTCGCGTCGTGTTTTCCAAGTCGGTCGAGAAAGTGAAAAGGGAACATCAATTGTTCTCTAAAGCACATTACAAGAAAGATAGTTAAGTTTACCATGATTAAAATCATTTACACATGATTTTATAAACTGTTCACATTCTGAACTTTTATAAAACCCATACTATGCATGCCAGCATTCATATTTCTCAATCAATTTATTATTACATTTTCATACTTTTTAATCTATCCACTACACGAAGAAACACTGATATTTCTCATATTTAAAATGCTTTGCTGACAGTAAGGTTTATTTCTCCTTTTCTTGCTCACTATTGATTGTCATGAGAACTTTGCTAGGCTTGAAAATAACCTCATAAAGAAGTCCTAAAGTTAGGAAACTCCATTAACCAACTGAATCTAATTCTCTAGATTCAATGATCATATACACCATTAATAGTCTTTCCTATCAATTGCCATCTGGACTCATTAATTAAAGTATACTTTAAATATGCATTTGTATAACATATATAATGCTCATCCTGACATGGTTAGTTCTTAAAGTTACTGAAACCACACCCATCTTCCCCCACTCCCACCGAAACATATATTCATATTAATAGCTCTCTAAACAGCAGGGTCCTGCTACCTGCCTGGCGCAGGTGACACACTGTACAACCCCACTCAGGCCTCCTGCCCTCAATAGTAAGTGCCCACGTGGTCCCCAGCAGGCACCGCAGGATGAAAGAATGGACCACAGACAGAACATGGCTCTGGACCTTCTCTTGCTCAACTGAACAAGTATTTGTTGAACGCCAGTTATGTGCCAAGCGCAACGTTCACCACCTCCTTTGTCAAGGACTTTGATTTTGCTATTTTGCCTTCATATCTCTGCTGAGGTTTTATTTAGAAAAGTCAATTTATATTGCATTTTGCGTGCTTTGTCTGACACTGTAGCTTTGTAGACCCAAAATAAAGCTTCTTATAAACACAAGGAACCTGAAAGATGGATACAAACAAGACATTTACATGTTAATCCCTGGACGACACTAGCCAAGCAATCGCATGCCGAGAGGTGTAGTAAGGATAGGGCCTTCAGAGGGCACAATTCACTGGACTCTGTAACAATTCTCTTTCAGTAGGGAAACAACGCAAATTTATACTTTGCTTTTTTGAATAAATGTTTTGAAGCAACCAAATCAAAACAAGGAATGTTATAAAAATTTTACTGTTACAAATAATAGCCATATTACCATAATAATTTAGAGACTGATAATCTAATTCCATCATTTCTTTTTCCCAGCAAGGAAACAAGAGGCCAAGATAGCATCTGTGGGGTTATTATGTGCACATGTCACAGAGTTTTCTGCACTGCCTGACACAGGTGAGTTAGTGACACAGTGACATTACTAAGACGCTGTGGTCACCCATGTGTTTGGGAGCTTAAACATTTCTGCCTTAATTCCTAAAATTTTAAGATTCCCCCAACAAATGCTTATTAAAGAAACTTAGACTAAAATCCAGGAGAAAATATACGTTGTAATTTACTCATGACACATCACCAGAGTGGTCAGGGAAAAGGAGGCTGGGAGTCGGGGAGCTGGTGCACACTGAGGTGCTAAATTTATAAGTGATGAGAAATACTAAAAGGGTAATAGTCTAAAATGATTATTGAGCTATCGGTTTTATTTAATATGGACTGCAAACTGGTACATGCAAAAACAGTTACGTGGCATGAAAATACTTCACAATTCATCTTCTCTCCTCTCAGGGATCCCAGATGAAATCCTGAGCTAAAAGAATCAAATTTATTTTGTTCCTTGTTATATAATCGAAGTTACTATGGAACAAAAATAAACAATTTCCTCATTTCTATCTTCTCTGAACGCTATTCCTATGGCACCTATTCTATTGGCATGTAACTTAGTATATATATAATGGTAGACTCTTTCACTTTTCTGTAATTGCTTAAAATGCTAACCTTATCTCCTCTGCTACACAGTTAGTGCTGTGTGAGGAATGTATTTCTTTTGTACAGATGATCAATTAAGAGTTGCTTTAGTGGTTGACTGATAGAACAAAGGACTTTCCAAATCAGAAAGGTTATTAATATCTGTCTCGCATAGTACCAGGCACGTAGTCATAAGTGGCTGTCATGTAAGTGAACGAATGAATAAAGAGTTTCTGATGGTGCTGGGAAGGCCACATCACCAACATTCCCAATGATCTGTTGCTGTTTGTGTGAAAAGAGCCGAAAGAAAAGTCCTTGAAAATATAAGTAAGCAGTTCAACTGACTTTTAGGCAAGCATCTCAGCTCCCTCTTACCAGTTAAGGAGGTGACATTTAAGCACCTTGGCTGAGGTCACAGAGCTGAGAGTTGGACCTAAAATCAAGATCACCTGATTCGTGGTTCAGCGTTCTTCCTACTGGTTAATGTCACCTCGCTGCTGAACTCGTAATCTCCTGAGTTGCTCCTGCAAGAGGAAAGCCAGTCCACAGCCAGCACAGCTGCCCTAAACCCCTACGACTACTCAAAGAGGATGAGACGGTTTGGGCGCCCACTCCTGCGGGACTAGCCTTAGGTTTCCCAGTCAGACAAGAAGCTTCTCCATGATAGAAATCACATCTTAAACAGCTGTGATATCTCACAATGCCAGGAACAAGACTGGACTCACAGACAATTCTCAATAAACGCCTGTTGAATTCAAAATGAAGAATAATTCTAAGAACTGAATTTGAGATCAAGCCAAAATTGAGATTTGGTGTTAAATCATCAGTTATATCTGAAAACAAATTAACAGACAGGCATCAGTCAAATACCATTTGTCCTAGCAGTCCCCAACGCCAAAGTTATGTGTCCCTCTGGCTTTTCATAAGGGAAATAAGAGCTTCCTCCATCTGTTTTTCTGTGAGGATGATGGCAGAATTAGTTTAATTCATATTAAATGGAGTTAGAGTGGCACAAACACACACACAAATAAAACACACATCCGTTTCCCGAAGCAATCATTCTGCCCAGAAGCGCATGCGGCATCAGCAGGTTCCTCTTTTCCTTACGGAAGTGCTGGGAGCATAAGAGCTTTACCCCTATTGACCCTAAAACCACTACACGTTCAGGAAAAGGAGGAGGATGCGAAAAAGAGGAACTAATCATGCAGAACTTCGGCTACTAGTGGATAATGACAGTAACCACTGGAAAATAATAACCATCTCAAGAAGAGGTCTTTGTCTGGGACTTACAAAGAGACCTAAGATAAATCCATTTAGAGGATTTGAATTGTAACACTCATTTATGATTTGTGTCTATTTCTCCGTGGGATATAAAGTTAAAAAACAAAGAAAACGACTGCCATATTTAGCACTGGGAACTAAGCAAGGCCTGATGCGCTCTTATTTTAATATATAAATGGCAGGTTTCTTTGCTTGCTCTCTCTCTCTCTATGTGTGTGTGTGCGTGTGCGTGTGTGTGTATTATATAGTATACATATATAATCAATTTCCGCTGAATAGGAAAAAATCCAGTGACAGAGCAGTCTTTTTCTAATATTTATGATGGCAAGTGCCAAGGTTGATTTTTGTTGTTTTGTTTTGTGCATGCCCAACCCTAAACTAGGGAAATAAAGTAAAAATCTATTTTTCTTATATTTTGCATTTCAGAACATAAGCTATATCTGAAACACTCAATTTCCAGTAGGATCTGATGGAAAGAGGAGGAAGATTCAATTAATGAAAAATCCTAGAGATGCTTTTAAAAAATCTGGAAAACTATATAAAAAATAGTGATAGCTTCCCTTTAGCGAGTTTGATAAATTACACTGGTAAAGAGAAATAATCATTCAGACAAATATAATCAGAAAATTATAAGCCTTAATGAATTGATCATTATGTATTATGAAGTACATCTTCTCTAAAAACAAAAAGCAAAAGCAAAAGCAGACACTAACCTGTCCTGTGTCACGGGGAAGTAATGTAGGTAATCGGTTCCATTAACTTTTATTCTCCCACTTCCATGTTCATAAACAACTGCTTCTGCTTTTGCACTCTTTCTTTTACCTTAAAAAACATAACATAAAATTTCTATTAGTAAACATCTGAAAGACCAATGCTTTGAGACAATAAAACTACATTAAAATTTTCTTCTCCCGAATAACAATACATAGCACTCTGTACATAGGAAACTAGTAGTTCTAGAACAGGTAAGCTACACCATAATCAATATATTAAAGCTACTTATAAGGTAATTTTGTTCATTAATTCCATCTGAGGAACACCACAATGATTTTAAATTAGTTTTCACAACCAACAAAGTAATTCATATTTATATTACTTTAAAATAAAAAAAAAACCAATTTATGTAGTGTTCTCTTATATTCAGTAAGAATATATCTAGTCACATAATTTTAAAAAATATTTGAAAAGTACAATAAAATACAATTGATAGAAATGAAAGTAATCCTCAGGAATGGTCACATTTCTCTGAACACAGCTGAAAATGACAAAGCAATAATGTTAAATTTTTAAGAGCTGCAAGGTATCATTTAATAAGTTGATTTTTTAAAGTTAGACTATGTCAAATGTCTTTGTAAATGTATATGGAAAATGTGAAGATCTAAAGTTTGCACATGTTTCACAGTTTTAGCATCCAATATACAGATTCACTGAGCATTTTCATTTTATATATGAAAATCTTCATTATAAATATTTGTTTCTGCCAGGTGAAAATGTGAAAATAAAAAGATTTAACATAAATATTTGGAAATAAAAAGGATTAATATGATTGTGTCGGAATGTGTCCACATTTTTTCTTGCGATGGTATAAAGTTCCTTCTGTTTTTAAAAACTTCAACAGAATCTTTAAAATGAAGAAATCCAATGTAGCAAAAACAAATCAAATGGATACCAGAGAGCAACAGCAAATAAAAATAACTGTAGTTTCTCAATCATCACTAAATTTATTTTCTCTCCACGGAATGTCATTACCTTCACTTGTGCTGAAGGCCATTCCTTGCTCATCATACTGCAAAGGTTCAATCAGATGTTTTTTTGATTGAATAGTTACACTCCTACGGAAGCTCCGTACAAATTCTTCTTCAGTGTCACCACACTGCAATGCCCATAACCTTTCTAGCAGCCGAATGAACTGCGCATACTGCAGACAATAAAAATTCATTAAAAGATGCAAGTGTAATTGCATTTGCTAAATTTTTTCTATTTTTATAGACTTGATCTTTCCAATGTTGCTTTTCTTGATGAATTTTGACAGGATGACACTTCTGCACCCTCACGCTGCTTTTAAAATAGCATGCAGATGCAGTACTTGCCCTGTGGATCTTTAGCATTCACTCTTTTCTTTCAAGAAACAAAGAGATTTATCATTCAAAGAAAAGTCCGATTCTCTGTATTTTGACTGTATAAAGTTGAGATTTATATTCATTTTCAAAAAATATTTAGATGATCTTCAAGTATAATTTCTACTTCTTTAGTAGAACTGTATCAAGAGGAGCTTCATAAATAATTTTCAGTAGGTTATGTATAGTAAAATGGGAAGAGTTTGATTTTGAGAAAATGTACCTCTTAAATTATATTTCATAATACATTTGGCAAATATATCTTTAGCTGTTCAAGCTGTGTTACTTTAATGTTTATGATTTCCTTTAAAACCGAACAATCAAGCTATTTAAAAATTCAAGAGATACTTGACTTAAAGGGCAACCTCTTGAAATAAATTATCCTTGCTACTCTGTGCATTTTTTTTAATAGTTCTTGAACATGTGATTAGAAAGTAAACAACTTGGTATTAACCCCTTAAAATTAGAAGCTAGAATAATCATTCTAAAGTGTTTACAGAGAAGGAAACAACTAATACTCGAGATCCTTAGTTAATATGGAGTGTGAAACCCAATTTTTGATAACCTTATTTATGTTTTTGCCAACCCTAAAAATCACACTCACCTTTGTTACCTTTGCCTTTATGGTGAAAATCTGCCATTAATGATTTAAAATATATAAAAATCTCACCAGTAAGATTAAAAGGACTGCTTCAATTACTGCTTTCTGTGATATTACAACAAAAGAGATGGCAATTTTCTAAGTAAGGGGGAAATATTTAGCCACCTGTGGTACTAGACCTGCTAAAACTCCATTCTTCCCCTCCATTTACGGGCCTGTGTCCTTTGTTCTCAGCTATTCTGTCAATTTTATCACACGCACTGTGACTACCAGTGAACCTTCCAAGAGGTAACTACAGGTATGACATCGTCAACTAGGATTACTGTTGAAGAGGTCACTGGCCGCTGCTGCCTCCCTCATCTTGATACCAGACATCAGCTTCAGGATTTCTTCTGATAGCCAGTACCCCAAAAGTACAGAAGACATATATGTATGTATATGTTTGTTCTGTCTTCATAGCTGCACACCTGTAATAAAGTCCTTGGGATGCTTTCAAAATGAGGAAGGGAAAAAAAACAACCAAAACCCCTGCATTATAAAAATCAAAGGAAAAGACAGGAAACAACAAAATGATGCATTCAACGAAAAGGCAAAGGGAGGTTTTCAGTTAGATCTAAGTGTAGCAATACTGTCTTGGCAGTTAGGATATTAGAAATTAACTCCAGATCTACCCTTCACCAAATGCCTTGCACCTTTGTTAAGCAAACTCCAACTTTTCCAAGTCATTAATTTATCTAATATGTTAAATGAAAAAAAGGGCAATTTTATTAGAGGGCAATTCTGTGGTGGCAAGGCACTAACAATGTTAGCCACTGCCACAGAAGAAAAACATTCTTCTTGGAATAATTCTGAAATTTATCCACATTCAAATCTCCTAGAAATAATCTAACTTTAGAACATCAAAATATTTAAAACATCAAATTTCTCCTGATGATGCTGGCACGTATTAGAACGGTTAGCCAAACAAGATTCTGATTGGGACTTAAAGCAGGAGTCGCAAACTTTATAGGATATAACATTCACCTGTGGAGCCTGTTAAAAATATGGATTCCTGGGTGACATCCCTGAAATTCTCAGCAACGTCTGAATCATAATATTATATTTTGAAACCAACAATCCAAGTGATTATAATACAAGTGGTATTTCCAAGACGAAAAATAGTAGCCTTAGAGAAACTGCACAAAGGTGGGTCAGCCTAGAAGTAGGAACCTGTTTGGAGGTAATTGTGTGCTTCATCCCCTTTCTACTTAACCTGTAATAGCTCCTTACACTTATCATTAGCTTGTAAAATTAGCTATCTGCTTTACTGAAGGCAATGAAAAATGACATCTGCCACATTTCCTTAGAACGACTAGCAGAGGACGCAAGTGCATTTACAAAAGGAGGATTTGGAGACCTGGCATGTCTCTTTCCTGACCAGAGAGAGATAAGGCTCTCTCATGGCAGAAGTCAACTATAAATATGTTTTAAAAAGGAAAATTGTCTTAGAAACACCTGCCTCTGAGGAACATTACTATTAGGATCCTAAATACAGCAATTGTCTGCATTCTTATGGCACAGGTCCCCTTAAATTAAAAAGATTAATTACTCACATCTTGATCTGACAGTTTTTCCACTAACATTTCTTCTAGTTCCTCCTTAATCAGCCATCTGCTGCCAATCAGGTCTCTGTTAAAATATCACATATATTCTCTTTTAAATTAACCGTGCAATTAGAGTTATATCACAAAAGATCCCACATGTAGTAGCAATTCTTGATTGGGAAGCAAGTTTCTGTATTATATCACTGTAAAATTTCACCCAAGTAAACTATTTTTCAGACATACTATTTCATTTCCTCAATCTACTTTAGAAAAGATACCCAGTCTAGCAAATATTTTGTTTGAAGAGTTAATACGCCATTGTGAAACTCATTTGGTAGTAAAAGCCACAAGATTTCTTAAAAATGAAAATGTCATTTGTTTTTCATAATTTAGTTCAAAGGAGATGTTATGGACCCCAAGTTAACCTGTCAATGGGGAAAAGTAGTAATAAAGTCCAAACAATGGGCTAGGAAGTATTTACGACTTAAACAAGGTATACTCAAAGACTTGTGGCTTCTGCATAAGAAGTCTGTGGATTACTAGGCCAAGATTTAAAACTGGTTGCTCAGGTTGATGTACCTCGCCTGTTATTGTTTGCTAAAAGGAAGCAGAACCTTGAAGTATCTCCCAAAATTAAAGCATGTAAAAGTTAAGTAAATGTGCAGCTATATACAGAAAACTTCTGAGGATATCATACTCAAATACAGTAATGAAATATCATTTAACATATAAATATGGAATGAAATAATAGAGAAATAATAACCTTAATATTTACTTCCTCCCAAACAAAAAAATCACCTATTATTTTGACCCCTAACTGCAATGATTAATGTTGAAATGTTGAACCAATTTTTAGGCTTAAGGTATGCTTAAAAAACAACTTACTTGGTTTTAGCTTTTTCTGAAAATAGACCTTTGGCCCGCAACTGATTCTGATGTTTTTCTACATCGAGTAGCTTCCCATACGTGTCCTATGGTAAATAAGATATACATGCTGAAATAAGAGGATGGTACACTATTACTTCTACTTTGTATTGTCCCTTGAATACTCTCATTTTGAAAGTGACCTCCTCAAATAATCTAGTGTCACAGCAAATAATATTGAGAATGCTTTTTAATAATACTATTTCTCATTCAAACTAATAAAGAGAGTACTTTCAATAAGAATTTACTATCATACATAAATTGATTTTTAAAATAACTGATTTTTAAATAATTCTAAGAAATAACTCCAGTGAGCTTGGTAAAAATAAACCAAAGCTTCGAATTATTTATTTTCCTTAGAATTCCACAAACAGGAATGTTTTCTTTAGGGAAAAATCTTAATTTATATAGCAATATGCACTTTTAACTTAGAGAAATGAAAGTTACGGTACTTATAAGTTACTTATCTAATATTAACTATTTACAAAATATTTAAGTCCCTCACTATGTAGTTTGTATCTTAAAAAATTTCCTATTACATTTACTTTTTATCATTTGATTTCTTTTGTTAATTTACTTTCTAAAAGAGTCTGTGAATGTATGTCACTTATTAAATTGTATGTAAATAGGGGAAATTTTGACATTTTGTTAGAGCGTGGGAATAAAATTTATCAATAAAACACGTTTTCCAGGAAGTGAGTTTTATAACAAGTGGAATAGTGTAACTGTCTCTGAATTTTTTTTATTTAAGCAAACTGAAGTATTTGAAGACTCACATCCAATATGTGCGTATTCATTTATAATTTACACATACTCTACCATACTAATACCTAATGAACAAACAGTCTTTTTAAAAGGATGTTAGAGATGATATAAATGACATTTTTTCTTGCTAATCACACCTTCCAATATCATTAGCTAATGTCGGAAGACACAAGTTGTTACTGATAGAGATGTTCATCCATATCTCAAAGAGTCTTAATTAATCATTTCGAGTTTTGGGGGAAGGGACAATTTCTTATGGGCTCTGATTAGACTGCCATATTATATTATGATGTTGCTAATAAAGAGCTTGTTCTAATAGAAGTGTCCTTTTGCCACTGTCTTTGTATTTACCAGTGCTTGCATTTTATTATCATCTTCATTCTGAAATCCATTTCTCTCATGGGGAAAATAATATTTTTTTAAAAAGGAAAAAAAAAGGATGTAAAGATTGCACCTCTGAGTTTCATACAAATAGGTGAGAAAAGCTGAGGCTATACTCAATGGGCTAAGACTTCACAATCATAAAGATTTGAAAGTTCATTTCTTGTGGCTGGGGAGACTGATAAAAGTGTTTTTTCTTTTGTATTTCAATAAGGGTAGTGCAATCAATAGCTCAGTAGAGATAAAGAGAAGAAGCAGAAAGAAAAAAAAGAAACTATAAAACTGGGGTGAGTTAGAAGCTATAAAACTGGGGTGAGTGACAGATTCTAACAGTGGACCCTAGTATTTCGAACATAGTGAAACAATCTATGTTTAGAATCAGCAATTCTAAAGGTAAGTTCCCAGGACAGCAGCACCAGCACCAAGCCTAAAACTGGTTAGAAATGTAAATTCTCAGGCCCCACATCAGACTTTCTGAGAAGGAACCTCTGGGCTGGGGCCCAGCGATCAATAATAAGGATGCCTCCAAGTGACATGCACTAACATTTGGATCTGTCCACTAGGACTAGAGAGCCTAGCTCAACACGATAGCAAAAGGACAAATTAAGTTAATTCCATTCCAGCATCCATACAAAGGACAACTATCTCTACAACTATATCCAAATTACAAATCCATCAACTGTAGCACCAGAAGAATGTATCTGACAATTTAAAACAAACGAATGCCCACCATAAAGAAAGCAAGAACTAATGTGAACCATTCACATATAGAACATGTACTCGCTATTCGACTTAATATAAAATTTTATAATTTGCTCCCCCAAGAACTATTACGACTCATTTTACTGTTTGTGGTTAGGGTACTTTTTACTCATTTCTAAAGGCTCAGATAGTGGGTTGTGACCTCAACTGAATAGTATATCAGAAAAAATTTCTATGAATCTCTATTTCCAGAAAGCAATTCTCGAGTGCTTTGAACAGGTAAAATAAAGGGAGGGGGGAATCCAAAATGAATCCTCCCCTACTTGTATAAAGTAGACAGACACAGTACAAATAGCATTTCACTGTGCAACCAGCATAGCCCTTCAGCAGTCAGGGCCTCAGCCAGACTGCTACGTTTGGGGACTCTTATAAAAGGATGGTGCCAGTCTCTCAGCTGGTCTGCTCCAGTTGAGATTCTGAGAATGCGTAAGTCAGGGCTGATGTGTCTTCCAAATCTAGCTAAAAAAAAAAAAACAACCATGAATCCAAGAGAATACCAACAACAGTAATAAGATACCTTTCTCTGCTTGTAAATGTTTATTTAATTTTCTGGAATAACCAAGGCAACTAAAATATAAATAATTGACCTGTTTCATAGGTAAGTTTCAAGTCAGAGTTAGGCTGCTAAATTCATCATCATTTTCCAGTGACTTCTAAGTAATTTTTAAGTCCATATTTTTGTTAAAAATTTCTTTCACTAATGCTCTTACTAGCGTGTGTTATATTTAGCTCCAGGAGAATTTATAAAAGATGCCAGTAGAATAATCAAGAAACAATGTGGAATGAGAAAACCACCCATGAAAAGTACGTGTCAAATTTCAAACATAGTAAATTCTATTCATTTATGACAATGTTTATACTTGATGGCTGTAATCCATCAAATTATATAATGCTCATTAAGCCACCCCATTTACTTCTTTAAATAGGAAAATATATGAAAACTACTTAGCACAGTGCCTGACCCATCAAGAAATGATAGCAGGGGTGAGGAGGTATGGCATTCAAGAGTCGGATAATTGAGAAATAACTTTATTGGTGTGCCATTTCTATTTTTCTTTCTCTTTTGCATAGTAAACCACTCTTGAAATTCTATCTTGGTTAGTTAGAAACAACAGTTCTCTGGAAAGTAGACTCTATAGCTTCAACTCCCCGAAGAGATGTGTACTAATTTACATCAAAAAAATCCTTCAGGGTATAAAATATGCCAGGAACTGTCAACATCACAGATTATCACTGGTAGCTTCTGGTATATTGTTTAGTTTCCGCTTAATTTTTAAGGGACACTAGAGAATTAGTATGACCCACCTACATTAAGTTTATATACAGTGTTTAATAGTATAATTTTCAAATATGACAGGAATAACCCAGATGTGAAATGCTGAATCATTAATCACAGCTATGATTAATATTTCATAAAATCAAAGCAAACCTATCCACCCCTCGTGTCATCAGATTTCCATAATGTATGAGTCAAATTTAGAAGGTGCCTAATTTGAAAATACCAGATGCTCAGGTTGCAGAAAAGAAGTGTTTAAACTAAACCCTTCTAAGAGCGTGAGCAATATTAGCTTTGGTCTAAAAATCTGATTTTAGTTCTTCTAAAATGTTTTGTTTATATTAATCATGTAGAAATTCCATTTTTAAGAAGAGTAAGCAAATAACATTTCTTGGGAGAGTGATAAAGGAAAAGTCAACTGTATTTTCACAAACAAATACACAATAACGTACTAATAGTAATTATCATCTTATATACTAGTTCAGTAACAGAAAAATGACTTAAAATATATATTTGTCTTTTTAAAAATCACAGAAAATCAATTTCCTAAATAACGATCTTCTAAATTTTTTTTGGATACTGGCATGTATAAAATCAAATGAAATAAACATAAATATAATTCACTTATCAGGGTTTCTGCTATTTATCTATAGTTCCAAGTGACGCATTTCTACTGGAGACCCTTGCTATCAGTTTGTAAACACACTATGCTATCCAGTTTATACATCATGTAATGCTAGTCGATGTGAAAAAGGAAACAGTCTCGTATGCAGGTCATGTAGAAAAGCACTCCGGGAAAGTTCACACCCAGGAGTAATTACATAAAAGTGCTTGTAATTCAGATATCATATATTTTTACTGCTTAAATGAAAGCGCCACCATACATTATAAGAGCAATTATAGCATTATAAAAGAAGTAATCTGATCAAAACAACAGAGGCAATAAGTTGAATCCATTTTTAAAAATTAATTTTCCTAATTGTTACATTTACTCCTATGTGAGGAAAATGTATATTTAAGATACTTCTGGAACAGCAATTTCTACTGCTGAATTAATTACTGAATTAACTCCTGCTGTCAAGGAAAGTCTTAACACAGCATGCAGATATGTCAGCACTAGTCTGTAGCTTATTAAAAATAAGCACTTTACATAGTTGTAAAGGAGTTATTTCACAACAGCTCACTGTGAGAAGGGTCACTATTTTCATTCCATTTTTAAAGATAAGAGCGCTACATCGAGAGTTTTAAACATTTACCACAAGGTTACCAGGAAGACATAAACGAAGTAGCGACCTCTGTGGCTCTAAGTCCCCAGGGCCTGTGCTTCACAGAGGCTGGCACCTTTGCCCAGTGAGGCCGCGGTCTCCTGGGGCTGCTCATCCCGGGGTTCACCAATGTGAACATGGATGGTTCACTGCACATTCACAACAAACTGGAGGATTTCTAAATAAGCCAGGAGCTTCTTTCAAAAGGCAAATGAATCCTGTTTATGCATAAGTTCTCAAAATTAGAATTCCCTGGCTTTCTTTCATATTTAAAATGGTTTTTTTGTTTGTTTGTTTTTTAGTCCAGCACTGTAGTTGAAGTGTATCATGATCTTATTCTCTAATTTTATACTATTTTTGGGAGGGGGGTAAAAATTTCATCTGTGGCCATGTAATTCCTTCAATTTACAGAAATACTATAATAATACTCCACTGTTTACTGTAAAGCTCGTCCTTAAATATATAAATGAGAATTCTTTAAGATGCTAGATTCCCAGTGGCGTTTTTAGAGAAGCCTAACCTTATCTTGAAGATTGGGAGGGGTAAACTTACGTAAAATTTCAAAAAATGCCTAATGTACTTGACAACTTACAGTGTTTTCAACAGTCTGTACAGCCTTTCCCAAGCACTGGTTTCACTGGATTGTTTACAAGATGCACTGGATAGGAAGGGTTCTGTGACCCAGCGTGTCTGAGCAGCAGTGGGTTAACTCAACAGGTTTCTTTATTGAAGGACTTCACAGCTTTTACGATGCTAATAAGAATCTCCTCATCAGAGTTCCCCAGGAGGTGATAATGTGCAGCATTTCCAAACTTAACATTAGAGGCCCTTTCTTGAAGAGTATTTTATAACCTGTGTTCCTCAGAAAGCCCTTTGGGAAAGGCTGCACTGCAGACACGCCCTGACTTAATGAATCATATTTTATAGACGAGTTCCTACTTCAGAGTGAATAATCATCTCCCATAATGAGTTTTAAATAATTTCCAACTCACTTTTAACGAGTGAATTTAACATTTTTCAGAAACATGTGCATTAACAAAATGAGTAAAACTGAATTAATATTTTTCTTAAGATTAAAGGACTTGCACAAACTCAACCACGATGACCCAGGTCGCCAACGTCTTGCTCACGATACAGTCACTCTCCTCGTCACCACCAGAGTGGCTGGCCTGGACAGGCTCCAGCTGCTGTGGACAGCGGGGACCCCGGCAGGCTGGCAGATCCAAATGGCACGCTAATCTGGCCTATTCCTTACCTGTCCCTCACCTAGACCCAGGCTGTTCACAACTCAGTTGTTCAACAGCATTTGCTCTTCAAAAACTCTCCCCTTTCGTTTACACTTTTGCTCAACTATTTCAGGAAACCTGTTATTCTTTCTCTATTTCTTCATCCCACTCCTGAACCTTAAACTGAAACTCTAAATCATGTCTGAATAGTATACAAGTTCTACTGGTTAAGTGGCTGTTAAGGAAATGGAAAGCCAGCAATTTTTGGTAAAAAAAGACATGGAGCCCCCTTTTCAGTACTCAATGGTCCTTTGAGAAACTCTTTAAGTCTCTCATTTCTTCTTACTTAAGTTACTTTTTACCGCTTAAGAAATTACTTGTTAGTACTGTTTTATACTGTTTTCATTACATTTGTACATCATATTCACTGTGATATAAAATAAATGAGTTGTTCTGACTTTCCCAGGAACCTGGAGGCGGATGTCACTGTTGGGAGTTTCAACTGACCTGCTAACAAACCCTTAAACGTACCACATTTGCAGAGTCTGAAATCCTCATGGACCAGTACCTTTTTCTTCAGTTTATACTCCCCTACCATGCTTCATTTTTGAGCAGGAACAATATATTCTTTCTTCCTTCCTGTCCTCATCTTCCCTCAAAAACTTCCCCACTTCTCCACAAAAATTAGATGGACTAATTACAGGCCAATTGGAAAGTGTTCACTACTAAAGCATCATATATTATCCTTAACTGTATGCTGTACTGGGACTATCTTTTATTAATTGCTAAAATGTAATATATAAGCTTAATATGCAAACAATGACCAAATACTAAAAAAAAAAAAAAAGATTTGGCATAAAGACAAAATGGCTAATCGACAGCAGAAAGGTCTCCTGACAGAACTACGCACATGCTCTAGATCTGTCTTTTGGTCAAAAAGCTTGGCAGATGACTGCCATGCCTCACACAATTATAGGTGGTCAACAACATAGGAAAAACCGAGTCTGGCTCAGTGTCTTTTACCATCATGGGGAAGAAATTATATCAACTAAAACAAATGGTATCAATGATTCATTTCCAAGTATTTTATTTAACATCCACTGTAGTCTTTGGGGTATATTCCCTTTTTGCAGTGAGAAGTAGTGGACTGTCACACAGAGAATGGAACAGCAGCCACCCCCCACCACCAAGGGACAGTGTAACAAAAGAGGGAGCTAACATATGAAGCAGTTTTCAAGCTTTATTGTTTTACTTTATATGCAATGCGTGACTTCACTATAAAACCACGTTTGTAAGCCAAACAGTGAGTATTAAGTCACATGCTATTTCAAAGGAACAAACAGAATCTGGGATGATGTTGCTTTGCATCCTCTAGGAAATGAGACTGGCATGACTATAGCTGTATTAATACCATTTGCTGTGCACAATGCTAAAGTGACTGGCATATATTTAGAAAACATTTATCCCTTTTGCCATACATATAATTACTTTAAAACTCCATAGAAGGCATTTTTGAAAATACAAGGTTTTAGTAATTATCTGAATTAAAATGCTCAAATTAAACCAAAATATCTGTAACTCCTTATGTGTAAACTCTTGATGAGCAATAAAACAAATGCTAAACCCCACATGGTTTGGGGAGTCAAAACCCCCAGCAAAATAAACTGACCTAAATTACTGAATTTAACTAAAACATTAAAGCCCAAGAACTCTCCTATCTATAACAGAAACTATATTACTCAAAAAGAAAAAATATTTATTAATCAGGTGTAATTTGACTTCAATTAGATTATGGTAGTGTTTCAACCACTGAGAAACCAACCCATTTCTTGAGTAATACCTTTTAAAACACATAAACAAACTAAAAATAAAGTTAAGCCTCTTCCACAATGTGTAATTTCTTCATTACCATGGAACACAACAAAATATCTTGCCCTTGGGTTGCTCAGTTTCAGCCAAAACAAATGCAAATGGCTTGTCAGATGACAGCTGTCTGATAAGGCTCCCCTACAAGACCTGCATGCTTTACTTTTTTCCGTGAAACTTGGGATGAAAGGCAGAAGGCAGGAAGAGAATTAATGTAGCATACAGTCTAAAGGCAATGCTACAACCGTGATTAAGTAGAAAAGTTAAAAGGCACAGATTTTCCACAGCTTCGCTGCGTGCAACCCATCCGTGTAACAAGTTGACAGGCCTAGCGCGTCAGCTCCATCATCCCCTCCGACAGCTAAAACGCAGCACTGCATCCCTTTTCAGAGAAAATTTGCGTCTGCACCATGAAGCGTTGTACATTATTTCTTAGCACTGCAGGGGGCTCAAGTCCATATGGAACCTTCACAAATATTACCACAGATCAAACCAGCGGCGTTTGCAGGCAGATTTGACATACCTATTTAAATGAACAGCAGGGGTCCTCGGGCAGCCCCGGGCGGTGCGGAGATAACCTCCCTGGAAAGCCTGAACCGCAGCTCCATTACTCAGCAAAGACACACTCTACATTTATCATTCATTTCATTTCTGCCAGGGCAAGAAGCTCATTTGCCCAAGGTCAACAAAAAACTAAAAGGAGGTTTTCTTTTTCTCCCCAAGAAATAAATGTACCTGACAAGTGGGGATTTTGTCCTTTGGGTTTGCGGAGCACAAAGACACACCAGACAGTTCTAAAAAGCAAAGGAAATGTGTGCATGGGATTCAAGCAACGTGAAATCTGACTGTGGGTGGGGAAAGCCCAGGGAATATTTCTATAACTTAAAAAAAAAATTACACAATGAATGTTCTAAGAAGAAAATGGGTTCTGTTGCTTGAAATTTGGCTATTAAACTAGCCAGGCTTTTTTTCCTAAAGTAACTCTAGAGAACTCTCAAATCTGCACGCTATCAAACAATTACAGCTCTGAAACAAAAACTTCCCAGTATACACTCCAGTGCAGTTGGAAGTCAGAGTGTAATAAAAACCATTTCTTAGGTCTCTTGGCAGGACCCCAATTCTAGACCCACAGACTTTATTAGCCTACGAAAAGCAAAACTGTTTTTGTTATGAATAACAAAAAGGAAGATAACTGTTTGACTGTCTCCCAAGGTGAATGCCTTCCGGCCCCTGACAGGGTTTTGTGCGCAGCCCCCTTCCCACCTCCCATCTTGCTGGGACTGCACATACATGCGCTTTCTTGGTGTTGAGCATCTATCTCCGTACCACAATCCCAGCCTGTAAGTGAAAGCATTTTAAGGACAAACCATTCTGTTTTAAATTCTATGATGTTTACCTTAAGCAAAAATAAAAATATAAAGACTTTCAACATACTGTCTTACCTCTAGAAGTCTTGATTTTGTTCATTAGAAACATATTAGGTAAATGCTAAAGCTGAGCAAAATTTCTGGTACAATCAGTTACTTAGCTTACAATTCATATTATTTATCATAAACGTAATATACTTACATGCATTAATGAGTAATACGATTGTTTGCCAGTATAAAAGAGAAAATGAAATGGACGGCCATCTTCTCCCCACTGGGTCGCTAATAAAAAGCCAGAAGAAAACAAATAAACAAAAATAAAAATATATGGAGACCAAATAGTTGTATTTAACTGCAGTTATGAAACACATTTACAATTCTAACTTTGAAAATAACAAAAAAGCACTAATACTTAGAATTTTAATATTTAGTTTAGCACGTTTAATTGTAAATATTTAGGATATTTAATATCCATTAACATAAAACAATGTTTATATTTGATAAAATATTCCTAAAGATCTCACCATCAGAATTTATATAACGTTTTAAATAAACACATAAAACAAGCAAAATCATCCCATTAGAACAAAAAAATTTAGGTTTGGCTGTAAATACAATGCACTCCCATACTCTTAAAAAGGAAAATAGAGGAGAGTCAATAATGTAGTTCATTTAGAAAATTACAAACAGGTATAATATAATAAAGAAAAGAATTAAATGGATTTTTCCGTGCCACATTATCTGTTTCAACTCCATGGTGACATACCTCTGAGAGTTTAAAACGTCTTAAAACAGAAGGGGCCCTAAAAAGGTGTTATATGTCATTCCTTCTGAAATACAGATGGTCATTCACATCTAATAAATACCAAACAAACTGACAAATGGAGTCTCTGTAGTAAATAAACCATATTTGCCCATATTTCTATTGAGTTATTTCTCTGTTAACAATTTGTAGGAACTCCAGTACATTAAAGATTACACTCCTCTGTCCATTTCATAAGTTGTAAACTCTTTTGTCCCAATCTGTCACTTGCCTTTTAATTTTGTAATGAAGAAGTTTAAAATACACATATTTGTAGAAATTGTTACTTCTCCTCTATGGCAATGTTTTTAAACTGTTTCTCATTGTCGTCCCTACTACGAAGCCTTTTGAGACAGTTTTCCCCGCAATTGCCTCCCTCCCGATGAAATTTTCATACCACAGATAACTACTGTACATGTCTGTTCATATGTACTGTAGCCCTCTGGAGGGCTGGAACACTGTAAAGCTGAGATTTCTTTCACCTCCGATGAACCGACTTACGCCCCCTTGCGGGAAGCACCACCTTCATTGAGAAAGCATGCTTTAATACTTTGGGATTTCTAAAAACTATTTTCCTATATTTTCTTCTGAAATTTTTATTTGTTTTTATGTTCAGAAATTTATTGTATCTGGAATTTATATTTGTGAAACATAAATTCAAGTATTTCGTCCAGCAAAGAGTCGTTACCCATTAGTTTTTAAAATACTACACTCTTCTCTGTTGAAATACTACCTCCTTCTGAGGATAACTGGCATTACACATGGGCCACTTTAAGTGGACACACTTAAAATGAAGACCAAAATTTCATAATGGTGAAAAAAAGTCCTGATAGAGAGTTTATCTTGAAAAATAAAACAAGATTCTTATTTGGCTATGGCTTATGGATGAATTAAATACTTCTCCAAAATCATTTTCATAGACGTCGTGAAATCCTGCATATTTTCCAGTATTTACAACTTTACTATGCAATCAATTTTCACTGTATTGTTAAAACAGCCAGACGGTGACCAAAAAAGACAAATATCATGATTGCACGTGAGACTCTACCATAAAGGTTGGAGTGATTTTTGAGTTGTGTCTCATTTCATTTGCGTAGGTGCATACTTGATTTCATATGTATGTTTGTATATGCATATATATATTACATATATATACACTTGATTTCATTCAAACAAAGATGTCACAGATTTTTAGATGCCCCATCATGTATCTTATACAAAGAGAGAAAAAAAGATGGCGTACTTCACAGTTCACATTAATTGTAAAATGAATCCTGTTGCCAAAATTGTTAAAATTTGAAATACTGAGTCTTAGGACTCACAAATATGGCATAAACAAACAAATGGTGACAGTGAATACGCTAATCAGTTCTGTCAATTTGCACCAAACGCCATTTAATTAAAATCAGCTTTTTGCTGCATTTTGATACTTGATAGTATCAAAATTTCCTTCATTATTATTTATTTTTAAAAATTTCTCACTGCTTCTTGCACATTTACTTTTTAAAATAAACTTTACAAATTTCTCTCAAAAGTCCTACGAGGATTTTGAGTGAAATTTATTAAAAAATTTGAAGGTACTTGCTTTGTAATATTATCCTTCCTTACAGGAACATGAAATCATTTTTCAGCTATTTAGATTTTCACTTATGACCTAAAAGTTTTATAATTTTCATATAAACCTCTTATCTATGTTTCTAAGTTTTATTTGCATTTGTTTTTGTTGCTCTTGATAATGCTCCTCAGTTATCTATACTTTCTATAACATTGATTATACAACACACTCTTCTATTATTTTTTAAATACTTCATATTTTAGTTTTAGGTTCGAAGCAAAATTGAGAGGAAGATGCAGAGATTTCTCATATACCCCCGCCCCCACATGTACACACATAGCCACCTCCATTATCAACATCCTTCACCAAAGTGGTACATTTCTTAATAATGGATGAACCTACACTGACACATCACGATCACCCAAAGTCTATAGAGTATATTAGGGTTCACTCTTGGTGTTATACATTTTATGAGTTTGGACAAATTTATAATAACATGTATCCACCACAACAATATCAAACAGAGTAGTTCTGATGCCCTAAAAATCCTCCGTGCACTTCCTATTCATTACTTCCTTATCCCTAACTCCTGGTGACCAGGGACCTTTTCGCTGTCTCCATAGTTTTGCCTTTTCCAGAAAGTCATATAGTTAGAATCATACATGCAACCTTTTCAGATCTGTTTCCTTCACTTAGTGATATGCATGTAAGGTTCCTCCAGGTCTTTTCATGGCTTCGTAGCTCATTTCTTTTTAGTTCCGAACAATATTTCATTGTCTCGATGTACTGGTTTAATTACCAACTAAAGAATATCTTCCAAGTTTTGACAATTATGAGTAAAGCTGCTACTAACACCTGTGTGCAGGTTTCTATGTAGACATAAGTTTTCAATTCCTCTGGATAAATATGAAGGAGCGCAATGATTGGATCATATAATAAAAGTATATTTAGTTTTGTAAAAACTGCCGAACTATCTTCCAAAGTGGCCACACAATTTTGCATTCCCAACAGCAATGAATTCCCGTTGTTCCACAACCTTGCCAGAATTTGGTGGTGTCAGTGTTCTGGAGTTTGGCCATTCTAATAGGTGAGTAGTAGTCTCTCACTGTTGCTTTAATTTGGACTTCTCTGAGGTGGAGCATCTTTTCATCTGCTTGCCATCTGTGTATCTTCTCTGGTGACGTGTCTGTTAAGGTCTTTGGCCCATTTTTAAACCAAGTTGTTTTCCAATTGTTGAATTTTAAGAGTTCTTTGTATATTTTGGATAAAAGTCCTTTTCTAAATAATTTCTACCATTCTTTGGCTTTCTTTTGTTCTCTTGACAGTAGTTTTTGCAGAGCAGAAAATTTTAATTTTAATGAAATTAGCTTATCAATTCTTTCTTTCAGGGATCATGACTCTGGTTATATCTAAAAAGCCATGGCTAAACCTAAGGTTATTAATTATTCATTCAATTTCTTTAAAAGATATAGGCCTAATCAAATCATCTACTTATTTTCGTGTAATTTTGGCAGATTGTGTCTTTCAAGGAACTGGTCCAATTCATCAAGGTTATCAAATTTGTAGGCACAGAGTTATTCATAGTATTTCTTAATTATCCTTTTAATGTCCATGGGATCTGTTGCAGTGTCTCCTATTTCATTTCTGATATTAGTAATTTATGTACTCTCCTCTTTTTTAGTTAGCCCGGCTATAGGCTTATTAATTATATTGACCTTTTCAAAAGAACCAGCTTTTGGTTTTGCCGATTTTCTCCACTGATTTCCAGTTTTCAATTTCATTCATCTCTGCTCTAATTTTTATTATTTCTGTTCTGCTTATCTTGGGTTTAATCTGCTCTTCTTTTTCTACTTTCCTAAGACAGAAGCTTAGATGATTGGTTTTAGATCTTCTCTTTAATGTATGCATTCAATGTTATAAATTTTCCTCTAAGCAGTGCTGTTGCTTAGTCTTCTTATAAAGAATAAATATTAGAATTCCCCCACCAGAGGCAAGGTTAGAGTTTATTGTTCTGGACTCCTTTGGTGCATTTACATATGTATACCTACTGAAGTATAGAAGATTGTTTGCATGTTAAAAAACACAAATGGTTTTAACTTGTTTTATACTATATACTTGCTGTAGACTGAATGTTTGTTTCCCCCCTTTCAAAAAATTCATATGAACCTAATTCTCACAATATGTTGGTATTTAGATTTGGGACCTTTGAGAGGTAATTAAGGCTATTTCCTAATGAATAGGCTTAATGCCCTCATAAGAGGAACTCCAGAGAGATCCCTGATCCCTTCCACTATGTAAGAACGCAGGGGAAGACAGCTGTCTATGAACCAGGAAGCAGGCTCTCACCAGACACCAAACACCAAAGTAAGAAAAAGCGAGGAAATAATAAAGATCAGAGTGGAAATAAAGAAAATAGAGACAAAAAACAAAAACAAAAAAAACCCAAAACACTTAAAAAGAACATGAAACTAAGAGCTGGTTCTTTGAAAGGATTAATAAAATTGACAAACAATACTCATAAAGAAGAGGGAGAGCCCAAATAAATAAAACCAGAAATGAAAGAGGAGATTACAACTGACTCCACAGAAATACAAAAGATCTTTAAAGAATACTAAGAACAATTACATGCTCACAAATTGGACAATCTAGAAGAAATGGATAAATTTCTAGAAACACACAACCTTCCAAGAGTAAACCAGGAAGAAACAGAAAGTCTGAACAGATTGATTACTAGCAATGAAATTGAAGCACTAATTGAAAAACTTCCAACCAACAAAAGCCCAGGAACGGATGGCTTCACAGGTGAATTCTATGAAACATTTAAAGAAAAATTAATATCTATTCTTTCCAATCTTTTCCAAAAAATTAGAGAGGAAGGAATGCTTCTGAATTTATTCTACGAGGCCAGCATTATCCTGATACCAAAATCAGACAAAGATAATACAGAAAAAGAGAATTATAGGCCAATATCCCTGGTGAACACAGATATAAAAATTCTCAACAAAATACTGAAAACTGAATTCAACAATATATTAAAAAGATTATACACCATGATCAAGTGGGATTTATATCACGGATGCAAGGATGGTTCAATATCCACAAAACAATTAATGTGACAAAACCAAGAATAAAAATCATATGATCATCTCAATAGGTGCAGAAAAGGCATCTGACAAAATTCAATATTCATTAATGATAAAAACTCTCAACAAAGTGGATATAGCAAGAACTTACCTCAAAATAATAAAAGTCATATATGAGAAGCCAAGTTAATATACTCAATGATAAAAAGCTGAATGCTTTTCTTATAAGATCAGAAAGAAGACAAGGATGCTCATTCTTACCACTATTGTTCAATATAGTATTGGAAGCTCTAGCCACAGCAATCATACAAGAAATAAAAGTCATCCAAGTAAAACGTCCATTATTTGCAGACAACATGATATTATATATAGAGAACCCTAAAGATTCCACCAAAAAACTATTAGAATAAATGAATTTAGTAAAGTAGCAAGATGCAAATTAATATATAGAAATCCATCATGTTCTATATACTAATAACGAATGATCAAAAGGAGAAATTAAGAAAATAATCCCATTTACAATTATATCAAAAAGAACAAAACACCTAGGAATAAATTTAACCAAGGAGGTGAAAGACCTGTACTCTGAAAACTATAAGTCACTGAAGAAAGAAACTGAAAAGGACAAAAATGAATAGAAAGATATATTGTGCTCTTGGATTGAACGATTATCATTAAAATGACCATATTATTCAAAGCAATCTATAGAGTCAATGCAATCCCTATCAAAATGCCTATGGCATTCTTTTCAGAACTAAAACAATAATCCTAAAGTTTATACAGAGTCACAAAAGACCATGAATATCTAAAGCAATCTGGAGAAGAAAGAACAATGTTGAAGGTATCATGCTCCCTGATATCAAACTATTCTAAAAAGCTATAATAATCAAAACAGTATGGTACTGGCACAAAAACAGAAACACAGATCAATGGAACAGAACAGAGAGTCCAGAAATAAACTCTTGCTTATATGATCAACTAATCTTTGACAAGAGGCAAGAATATGCAATGGAGTCCTTCAACAAATGGTATTGGAACAACTGCACATTATCATGTAAAAAAAAAAAAAAGGAAACTGGAACACTCTTATACCGTATACAGAAAGAAACTCAAAATGTATTAAAGACTTAAATGCAAGACCTGAAAACATAAAAGTCCTAGAAGAAAACAGAGTATTAAATTATTTGACATCAGTCTTAGTAATACCTTTTTGAATATGTCTCTTTGGGCAAGGGGAAAAAAAGCAAAAATAAACAAACGTACTTTATCAAACTAAAAATCTTCTGCACAGCAAAGGAAACTATCAACAAAATGAAAATACAAACTAGTGAAAGGGAGAATATATTTGTAAATGATATATCCAATAAAGGGTTGATATAAAAAACATATAAGAAACTCATATAACTCAATAACAAAAAAATAAACAATTTGGTCAAAAAATGGACAGAGGATGTGAAGAGGTATTTCTCCAAAGAAGATATGATGCTCAACATCATTAATCGTCAGAGAAATGAGATACCACCTTATACCAGTCAGAAGGGCTATTATCAACAAATAACAAACACTGGCGAGGATGTGGAGAATGTTGGTGGGAACGCACATGGGTGCAGCCACTATGGAAAACTGTATGGAGATTCTTTAAAAAACTAAAAAATAGATCTATCATAAGCCCCTGTAATACTTCTGGGTATTTATCTGAAGAAATTGAAAACACTAATTTGAAATGATGTATGAACCCCTACGTTCGTTACAGAATTATTTATAATAGCCAAGATATGGAAGCAACCTAGGTAGCCATCGATGGATGGATAAAGATGTGTACCTATATACAATAGAATATTATTCAATAATAAAAAAGAACCAAATTTGCGTCAACATGGTTGGACGTAGAGGGTATTATGCTAGGTGAAATAAGATGGAGAAAGACAAATACCATATGATTTCACTTATATGTGTAGTTTTTTAAATTAAAACTAGTGAACAAATAAAACAAAAACAGACTCATAGAAACAAATAACAAACTGATGGTTGCCAGAGGGGTGGAGGGATGGAGGGATGAGTGAAAAACGTAAAGGGGAAAACTGTTATTAATATTGTGATAACTTCGCACGATGACAGATGGTTACTAGACCTAGTGTAGTGAGCACATCGTAAGAAAATGTGGGATCACCTGTATACCTGAAACTAATATAATGTTGTATGCCAACTATACTTTAATAAAAAAATTTTAAAATAAATCAATATTGTCCTCTTATGTTTTCCCTCTTCTCTTTGACCAGACTTGCCAAAATCTGATTAATTTCATTGGCATTTTCAAAGAACTAGCTGGTTTTATTTATCCAACCATTTCTTTTAAATTTCTTCACTTTGTTCATCAACTTACTTCTTTTTTCCGCCTCTTTAACTAAATACTTAGTTCGTTTATTTCTAGTCTTTCTTAACGTCTAATAATCATGTTTGCCTCTGAATTACAAACTGTCCACATCCCATATGGTTTGATAGGAACTGTGCTCATTGTCGTCATATACTTCTAAACAGTCTGTAATTTCAATTTTGATTTCCTCTTTAATGATTCTATTGATTTTTAAGTCATAAAAATTGAATCTATATAATATCTACCCTTTTGGAATTTGTTAGGTTTTCTCTATAACCTATTACATCATAATTCTATTAATATTCCATTGGCATCTGCATAGCAAATGTATTCCTTGCACTTGTATCTATAAAATCATGCTATGCTATTCAAATTCTTTAAAGCCTTAGTTAACAGCTTTTGCTTTAAACATTTCAATGCTAAATGCTTGGTACAATAAGGTTCATGGTCGTCAGATCCATGAACCTTTGGTTTTATCTATATAAACTAACATTCTTGTCTCATTGAACCATTTTCTAATCTCTCTGAATTCCATTTTGTCTAGTATTACATACTACTCCTTGCTTCTGTCATCAATCAGTATATACCTTTGTTCTTCTCAATATTTTTATCACTTGCTTTAAACAGTAAAGCAGGATTTTTATATTAACTCAATCTGGAAGCTTTCATCTTTTAATAAGGGAAGCAGCAGCACATTACAGGTGTCATAATCTATTCAAATATAAAATTCACTCACATCTTTTAACATAAAAACCAGTTTGACCTATATTTACAACGCATAGCAAAATTGGTAGGTAGGTAGGTGGGTGGGTGGCAAAAAATATGTTGCTGATTATAAAGGAGTATTGTTTAAACATGGTTAAATATAGTTAACTGCAATGTAAGAAAATCCTACCAAGAGTGACGTATTTCTAAAATAACACATGGGCATTTTGCAGGAATGTACAGAAGTTTCAGTTGTTAAGCCCAACTGACAGTAATAATAAACTTCTAATGCTGAGAAGCTGGTAAAATTTGACAGAAAGAACCAGCCTTAGAGGGGCGGATATATAAAAAGAGATGCAATTAGTAGAGATATGTAAAACAAAGAGAGGAAGAGAGAGAAGTGAAGAGCCTGAGACGTTGAAAAACAGAGGAGCCACCTAAAAAATCACTATCACTGTTTATCACAGTGTATTTATTTCTATAATTACATAAACTAAATATTATAAAAACAGATGAAATAGGAGTGAAAACAGAAAAGACAGCTGTTGCTTCTATGAAAACTAAGTTGGCTGCTTTAGACTCAAAGGCAAGTCACTAAAAAAAGTTTGTTGAACTTCAGTGTGGTAAGGGGAAAAATCTGTAGAAATATAGAAATACTCTGCACTCAGATTTGTTAGAAAGTTCAAGTTATTTGTTCCATTGTAAATAATCAAAACTAAAAATCTTTGATGATGCATCAGTGGCAGGGTTATGCAAAAGAAATGAGGAAGAAATACATACTCAAAGAAAAAAAAACCTCTAGGGTTATGGCAAAAGATTGATAAGTAAATATAAATTTATATGTTTAGTGTTTTTGAGAAATAATTTCCTGCTTTAAAACTTTTTAAATGAATTGACAACTACCATCCATCCACAATGAATAAGAGGTTCCTAATGTAAACTAGAAAATAGTAAATATATTATTTCCTGGCAACCTTAAGTCTTATTGTATGTTTTCTTCAAGATTTTATCTTACAGATTTAAAAGATAAAGAGAAAATCTTAAGAGAAGCCAGAGAAAACGGTGGAGGGAGATAATGGGGGACAGGTAAGAATGATGGTTAATTGCTCATCAGAAACAATGCGAGAAAGACAATGGAATCACATCAATAAAGACCAAAAAATGTGGGGATCTATATTCAGTGAAAATATGAAGAAAAATTTTTACTTTTGATGTAAAAAAAAAACCCACTGAATTAGTTTTCAGATCTGTACCAAACATCTTCATCAAAAAGCATATTAGAATGCAAATAAATTAATGTGACATTATAGGCATAAACTCTAATCTGATCTAATTTTAATATTACTTAATTAAGAAGAAATCGGTTACAAACCCCCATAATTCGTTATTAGTTATAAACTATTTCTGACCAATGATGTGACTCTGCCAGGACATGAGAGTGCGTCGCCATAATACATGAGTGGGTGCTGATGTGCAGCAAAACACTGTAGTAAAAAAGAACTGTTTGTTTAATTCTTGAGCAAACTTACCTCTTTGTTTTGGAAAAATCTGTTCAGGATGCTGTAAAATAAATTAAAAGTGCATCAGATAATTATTGTAACATATAAACTTAAGTTAAATTTTTTAAAATATTAAGGTAATTACCTTCATTATTGGCCTGGCTCGCTTCTCAAACAAACCACTGGGAAAAAGGTAAGCAATAGCTCTCTGAAAATATACATAAAGGTTCATTAACAATTGTTATAAAAACCAGTTAATGTCACGACTAATAGTTATTGAGTGCTTACTATGTGCCAGACACCGAACTAAGAGTTTCAATACATTATTTCATTTCAAAACATTTTAAATGAAAGCATAAATTACTGCATACATAATTCTCTAAAAGAAAAAAAATCTGTAACTACAATAGTGTCCCTTTATCCAAAGGAGATAGTTCCAAGATCCGCAGGGATGCCCGAAACCATGGATAACACCAAACCCTGTATATTCTGTGTTTTTTCCAACACATACACAACTACGGTAAAGTTCACAGCTTCTCTTTGGCATACCCAAATTGCCAGCCTCACTGCTTTGGAGCCTCTATTAAGTGAAATAAGGATGACTAGAACACACTGTGATATCTCAAAAGTGGATCTGTGAACCAAGATGGCTAGTAAGTGACAAATGGGTAGGGAAACAAGTTCTCGTTAATGTCTGTTTCTCAATAGAGATGCTACTACTGGCACTTGAATGTGACAGCTCCAATGGAGGCAACTTTCCCTAATACTGCAGGTCATTTAACATCCCTAGCCCTTTTCTAAAAATCTGAGCCAGTGACATACACAGCGCTTGTGACAAATCTCACCCATACACATTTCCAAATGTCCTTTACTTCCGAGGCAGCAGCACTACTACCAACTGGAAAACAATTACCGTGTCTTCTCCAATCCCCTTTCTCACAATTAAAAACAAAAACGAAAAAACTGCACTTTCATTTTTGTTGGATGATGTCAGGTAAAAGTCTGTGGCCCTGGATCTGAGCGCCCTATCTGGCCTCAGAATGAACTGGCAGGTCGTGTGGGCACAGTGCTGCCCTTTGGAGAGCCTGTGGTCGGGGAGGGCCTGCTCTGCCCACCACACAGCCAGTGTGCTGGATTCAGTCCTGCTCCTGAAAAGTCAGGGCCTGTAATGGTGAGGTATAAATTCAATTACATTAGGGAGTCCAGTTGTGTCTCTGGGTCAAGCTTCATTCTCATTCAGCTTTTTGCCAATAAAATTGACTTACACACAAAAAAATCTTCTATATCAGAATGTTAATTTTGTGAACTGTTCCCTTCTAAAACCAGGCATACCTTTCCCTTCCTTCTCTGAAGAAGAAAAAAATGGATTCTATAATAAGTGATGTGAGACTACTGATTGCCATTTGGAAAAAGGATAAAACAATCCAAACCTCACACCAGGATAAACTCCAAATGAGTCAGAGAGATACAAATAGAAAATGAAAAACAAAACGAAACAAAAAAAAAAACCAAGTACGGGAAGACAATATGGGTGAATTCCTTTAAAATGCAGACGTCAGAAAGTCTTAACTATGACTCAAAATTTAGAAGTAAAAAAAGACTAATCAATTAAACTACATAAAAAAAAGAAAATTTTGTTTTCAAATGCATTCATAATAACAAAAGTGCAATTAAAACCAATGAAATAACATTTTTCATCTATGAGGACTAGCAAAAGCTCAAAAGCTTGACAGCACTCTGCTGGCCAGGTTAGAGACTCTCTAACGCCTTGCTGGTGGCAGTGTCAAATGGTACCACCTCTAAGGTTGGAAGTTTGGCACTATCTAACAAAACTATATATACATTTCCCCAAGCAATCTCGCTTCCACGAATTTACCCTGCCGGTACCTCCCCCCATAAATACAAACAATATAAGCACAGGTTATTCATTGATCTCTAAGAGCAAAATATTAGAAATGACCAAATCCCCATACACAAGAGTTTGGTTGAATAAATGATGGTACATCTATGTGATCAAGTACTCTATGCAGCAGTCTCCAACCTTTTTGGCACCAGAGGCTGGTGCTCCTATGAGAATCTAACACCTGATGATCTGAGGTGGAGCTGAGGCAGTGATGCTAGCATTGGGGAGCGGCTGCAGATACAGATGAAGCTTCGCTTGCTCACCTACCGCTCACCTTCTGCTGTGCGGCCCAGTTCCTAACAGGCCACTGACCGGTATCAGACCCTTGCACTATAGCCTTTAAAAAAAAGATTGAGAAAAGCAAGATGCAAAAAGAATGTACTTAAAATGAGACCACTGGTATAAGGAAGAGAAATAGAAATAAGAAAATACATATAAAAATAGGAGAAAAATACACAAAGGTTTCTTTTTGTAAACATAAACAGAGGAAGAATAAAATGGAAACTAATAAAAATCATTGTCTATTAAGGGATAGGTGGGAGCAGGGGGAAAAGCACAGGGATGAGAGTAAGACTTCTCTGAGTATACCTTTTCATATATACTCAAACTTTAAAGTATGTAAATGTTTTATATATGAAAGACAAAAATTTTCAAAAGAAACTCTAAAACAATACAAACAGAAACAAACCTATTTCTAATGACAAAAATAATTACAAGTAAATCTTCAACTTCACATGGTAGGCTTACTGTTAATAGTAATATAATTCTGAAATATTTTGTATATATTGCAGCATAAAGGAAATAAGTAAATATATTTTTTATAATAACCAAAATTTTACGGGAGATAAAAATATAAAAGTAATGTTAAGTTTGAATTACACAAATCAATATAAACTCATGATCCTTAAAAAACATTCTTTCCTATATTACTCCTATAATATTTTTAAAATATTATTTTTTAATTCTGTCCCCGGACAGAGCATAGAAGCAATAGAATTCCAGGAGCAGTGTGGGTGGCCCCTAGCATTCAAATCTTGGTTTCTAAATATGATTTCCTAGTATAAGGAACAGAGTCTCTTGGAGAAAAGGCTGATTCCAGGCCTAAGGCAGGGAAAGTACAAAGTGAGCCTAAGGCATCTTCTGTGCCAGGAAACAAGGAAGCGCTCAAAGGACACAGGCCAACATGAGACAATTTGAACACTGAAAAGAACAATGACAATGACAATGCCTTATAACACACTCAACATGAGGGGTATGCTTATGTTTAATAGTGTGCATGCACATACACACACATTCTGAAGGGTAGACAAGGAGAAAAGGAAAGCCTCTTTATAAAAACAATTCTAGTTAATAAAAGTAGAAGGAATGACAGAAGTAGAAAATTATTGTTTTACAACTTCCAGGGTAATTATTCATTTCAGGCAAGGATCATCAGTGGAAGCTAAAGTCACTGGCTGAAAGGTTATTGGGGAATAGAATATTCACATGGATTCAACATACCACCCTACAGATTACGAGTTACAGAAGGGAAAAACTACTTTTACAATAAAAAGGTCTAGTGGTCACCACCTTAACAAACGGACAATCAACAGTGGGACAAATTGACTATATGCCTCCTGGTGTGAGGCAATGAGAAGGCTACAATATCATGTAAGTAAAGTAGTGTCATTTATACATTCTAAATCTGATCATAAAGAAGCAATTAGAAAGCCAGAACGAGGGACAATTATACAAGACGGGTGGTCTGGGTTATGTAAAACTCCAGCTATAAAGACATTTTTGGGAAAAGTGGGGAAATTTCCATACTGATTACATATAACATTACAGAATTGCAATTGTATTAGATGTACTAGTGGTATTGTGGGAGACGATGGTATAAAGGGTATATGTATTTAGGTTTTAAATAAATGCTGATATATTTAGAGGTTAAGTGTTGTATCTGCATTTTGAATGGCTCACTCAAAGAAATTTATATATACAGAGAGATAAAGGTGGCAGAACATTAACAACTGGCAAATCCATGCCAAGGAAACCTGTGTGAAGGGTGTGCAGATGTGGTGCACGTTTGTGTCCATACTATATTCAAATTCTCTGAAAATTTCAATTTTCTTTAAAATAAAAAGTTGGGGGAAAAATCTTAAAAATTAAGAAAATGTGGTTTTCCCAAGCCCAACCTGTCTCAGCAGGGTGTACCAGGAGCCTACAGCATCTGTGAGCCAGCTGGACTTCAGGCCTGGTTCTCACAGTGATACAGAGGAGCCCCAAGTTGGCCAGAAGCAAAGCAACTACTGAATCCAAGGCCTGGGTGAGAATACTAAACAACGTGGAAGACTCAGTTCAACTCTTAACCATAATTACAAGGCGGGAAATCCAAATGACTTTCAAGTTGGTTTCAAGACATCACTGGCATTTTCAAATGTGAAAATGACTATTACCTTAGATGACCACCGAATAGGATCCTAGAGGGAAATGAAAATGTGAAGAATTCCATCCTACAGTTGGATTTCCAATGAAAAAAGATGACTTAGAAAAGTCACAAGTAAGTTAACTGGTAAACGTGAAAATAAACTGTCAATTGCAAAGGATGTCTAGGTATTACAGGCAATCTGAATTAAAAAAAAAAAAGAAAACAAGCTAATAAAGAATTTGCTGGAAGTATTCTAAATTCAATGAAAGGATGAAGGAAAGTGGGTTTGCCTTAAAAAAGAAAACCTCAGCTAAAATAAATTAACATATATTTACTAATTTATAATTCCTCACTCTATCAGGTTGTAATAATACAATTTACCAACTATATTATACTATGCTACATAATATACTGCATGCTGTATCAGTAATTAGTAATATAGTATATATACACTATGCTATATTATACCAACTATATTATATTTGTTCCTAAATATATTAGGTTTTGTACCAAATACTATGAAGAAGGTCCACAGAGCAAAGGATACCATTTCAGATAAAAAGCAAAATCTTAAATTCAGTAAAAACAATGAAAAACATAAGATGGAAAAAAAGGAACAAGAGAGGGAACAGTAAATAAACCAGTTGTTTTTTAACCAAATTAAATACAGAAAAGAGAAAGACACGCTCCTGGTATGCTTTCTGCCTCTGTTCAGTACGCGTGGACTAGCATCAACGCGACCCTACCTGCTCCTCCCACTGATCTCCTGTGGGCACACTAAATCAGATTTCTTACAAATTCTGAAGCAAACAAAGGACTACCTGGATTTTATGAAAAAAGGCATTTTGCTGCTTTCTGTGCCTACTTAACTCAGTCAGCAAACACAGCTGTTAAAACT